CTTGGGCTCAAGCTCCACCCAGTGATCACAGCAGCCACATCCTCTCACTGGGGTGAGCTGGAGCAGTGGCAGGATGACAGAGGGGCCAGCAGCAGCCACTGCTCCACATAGAGCTAAACCACACCATTAAACTGCAATGATGATGTGCAAAATGGTATCTTGCAAGAAGTCTCTTAATAAGGTCAAGGGCAGCAAAAGATTACACCAATACTTAATAAAATAAAAATCAATCAATCCCTCCCACAAGAAACCCTCAAATCGTTCCTGCTACAACTCTTAGGAAACTACTACAGCAAAGAATGAAGCAGGTCTACACTGATCAGCAGAAAGCACTGATCATTTCTGAGATAAAACTCCCCACGCAGAGAAGTTAATGGGCCACAATGCAACCTGACCTATGCACTTACAATTCTGTCTACACACATCTTGGACTGAGCACGCCAGGGCTAACTCAGGTGCACCATAAATGGTGTATATGAATGAAGTAAAGAAGTTGCATAAAATTTATTTTTCCACCTTGTTTTACAACATTCCCTTTTAAGTTCTTACACATCTGCAACATATAACTCCACAGAACAATAAATAATTGGCATTCATATTCTCTTGAATCAAGAGTATGTACACGTCATTTAACTAGATGACAGGTACAAAACATTGGCATCACAGTAAATATCATTTTGACACCATAATCCATTTCCCCAATTAAAAATGAAATTAACTTAACATTTGTTAACAATCGTAACAATTAAAAATGTTCTCAAAGGCATATAAGTACACAGGTTGTAGTAGGCAGTAGTAATGGACCATATTGGCAAAGCTGTAGAACCCAGGATTTCATGCAAATCAGAGTTTATTAATTATGAAATAACTAATAATAAATGAAAGCCCATCCAGCTCACACTGAAGATTTTAATGTGCGCTGGACTGGCCTCAGCAACTGTGGAAATGAGTCAAACCCCATCCAAACAGTTGTGTCCAAAGAGCTTGTGATGGTAGTCGCAGGCAATAAGTAGCTTACATACCTGGTTTAGAGCACTGCTTGTGCAAACCAAGGGTTTATGATGTATCAGATGGTGCAGCAGCTTTCTTTAAAAGATAAATCCAGAAGACAAGCTTTAGGGCTTCAGAAATCTAACTTTCTGGGCCTTCCTGTCAAACTCGGCTCAACTACAGCAAATTCTTCCTCAGCAGTTGCAGAGGATGAGAGAAGTTGTCACGGTGGTTAATTGTGACAGTTCAGTAGACCACATTAAAACACCTCCTTTGGTGCTGCTGTTTGGTACAGTCATGGCTATAGCTCTCATCATGTAGTTCTCTACACCAAGGGGACACCAGGGATGTCACTTATCACTCCTCAGCCCAGTTCTGGTAAGACCCTGCAGAGATTTAAGCTGCTGCTGTTGAACAAAGAATGTTGCATTTCAGTTGCACTATAAGTTGAGCAAAACAAATGTTTGCAAGATAAACAGGACAAGCTCTATGGAGGAAACAAATCTAGTTAAAAGAATAAAAAATAAATTAAGAGGGTTGCAACACACCTGAATTACAGCTGAGATGCAAGAAGAAAACAGTGCATGTCACAAAACCTCCACGAGCACTAACCACTGAAGCAGCACAGCACAGAGTGTGGGCTTCCCTAAGCAGCCATGGGAAGCAAGAGAGACATACACTGCTATCCGACAGCATCACTTGGAGCATAGTCCTAAAGCACAAAAGTTACATGAACTGCTACAGTACATAAACCAGAACAAAAAAAGGAATAGGAAGAATACTAAGTAAGGCTACAAACAAGATACTACATAGAAGAAAACAATGCTTCACTCCCAATAAGCACAAATTAGTAGCTTACTAGAAGAAAAAGATTAAATTTCCAGCAGAGAATCCATTTATTCAAATGTACAGTAAGTATGAACGTATGTATTAAACTTTGCTTTAAAAACATTTTTTAAATAACTTAAGAGAAATAGATTGCAGACATAAAGTGCTAAACTTGAAAAATACAACAATCATTCCTCTTTCCTGCTGTTTGTTAAATGGCAGTTTCGATTTTCCGATTGCTTTAAAAAAATGCAGCGTATACCCAGACATTAATTACTTCCTGGATTTACAACCTTGTGCAAAAAAACCTACCTGCAAAGGAACATTCGCACCCCAAAACACAGCTATACATTACCACCAATTCACCAAATGAGTTCCTTTTTAGAGTTATGTTTCAATAAATATAAATGAAATCACAATTCTCTCCCTTTCTTGGTGTAAGGTAATATTTTGCAAATATGGTCCACTCAGTGTAAACGGTGTTGACTTCAGGAAACAGCAAATTCTACCATATATACCTCTCAAATATTTACATACAGTAGCATGGCACTGTTATTGTTGTAGGATATTTAACTACTAATACACACTAGATAGGGACAGGGCTTTACAAAGATGTGTACTGCAATGTGTTTGCCAACAGACAAAAAGGACTTGACTTCTCAGTCACAAGGAGTGGCCAAAAGAAATTCTTCATTCTTGTATTTAAATCTGCTTAAACAAAATGCTGACTGGGGAACTCCAGAACACCTGCATGGCTGACACTATCCAGGAGTTGGAGCAACTCACACTAAAGACAACATTAAGTGTCTTTTGGCAAAGTGGCATAATTCACAAAAGGCTGATAGCCCAACTCCCCAGGTAGATGGGCTGTCCAGGCACCGGTTTTCCTCTGCGAGACAAAACACTGGGAATGTTGGACTTCTGGGGCCAACATGAACACGTGTGTCAAGTAGAAATGTACGTTATTATTTTTAGAAGGGGGAAGAAGACAAGGAAAAAGGCAAATTCTATAAAAAGGTGAATACCAAGAATTAGCTTTCCTTAGTCAGTAGGTTGTTTCTGAAGGCGATTGCTATGTATCAGGACTTCAGACAAGAATCTATCGGAAAAGTGGCACAAAAGAAAAATCAGTGAGTTGAGATTACAGAGCATTTGCTATTCTTACTCCTGAAGGATTTTGAAACATAATTTTCTGAATTAGGAGGGCTTGCACTGTATGAAATAACAACAAGGTCATACAGACTTGCACCTTCCTCTCACCCTGAGCCACACACATTATGAAGCACATCCAATTTGTCTCTGAATCTTCTGGAACTTGCTTCCCCCTCCTCTTTGATATTTACTCACAGGATCCAAGATCAAGGAAGGCAGGTCAGGTTGTGCAAAACATCCCCTGGAGCAATTACCACACATCAACCACATAAGCCACGACTATCTTAGATCTGAAAATTCAAGCCATACCACTCTGGGTCAACAGAGACTCCAGCTCTTTTAAAACAACACTCCCATTTTCCACAGATTTTCACATCAGATTTTTTAATGCAGCATTGTGCTGCTTGCAACAGTGGAGTGCCTGTAGCAATAGCAACAGAAGCTGGCAGCCCATTAAAGAGGTTCAGCAAGGCATACAACCATAGCGCTTCTGCTCCTCATACCAGTGTGGCTGCCCTGACCTGGAAGAGCTGCCCTGAGAAAGGAGAGCGGAGCTCAGGCCCTGGGCTCTGCCATTCCTAGTCCCACCATGCAGTCAACCAACAACAGTGTCAAGCAGTGCCAGCTCCAACAGTGCTGTGGACATGGGATGTGGGAATGAGACAGCAAGCAACTAATTCAGCACAGACTAAACAGCAATTAGATGACGATGTCTGCCACTAAAGGCTCATCCATGTTCGGTGCATGGGCCCAACTGCAAAAGGTTCTCATAACTCTCTCTCCTCCTCCTGAGCAGCCTACATACATGTTGCTCTCCTTACAGTATTATAATGTGGACCAAAACTTTTTATAAAAGCAGAACTCATTGAGTTTAATTTTTGAAAATGAAAAATAAATTCATAAATTTGCTCTACACAGGAGAATCCCACTTCTGTGATTCCAGTTCAGTTTTTAGAGCAAAGCAAGTGCAAAACTGCAAAGCAAGTAAAAAACTGCCTCTCTGCAGGGAGCATGTCATGAACAACATCCACCTAGGAGTGCCTCAGCTTATTTGCAGCTCATCTTCGCAGTTTCAACCTAACAGGAAACAGATTTCGTGTAGCTGTGAGGAGTAGCAGCTCTGTGACCTCTCCTTTCAGTCTCCAAGGATTCAAGACACGACTGCCACATTGTCTGCAGAACAGTACGAGTCTCTTCTCACGTTGTCAACACATTTCAAGTCTGATCAACTGCAAGTTTCTTTTCCAAAGAGGATTTGCTTTAGTTTAGATAATTTTCTCCTATACAAATAAACACCAAGTAAAGCTATTATGTCACCAGCTCCTTTTAACAGGAAGAACAAAAGCTAAACAAAACTGAATTTCTTCATTTTGGACTAGCATTTCTCTGTATTTATTAATGCCTGTATACCTCCAAAATCACTAGGGTGACCACATTTCAACTGAAGGAAGATCTCAAACACGCTCAGATTCTCAAGTGTGTGTAGATCCGACATGCTGGAGCCCCATTATGGAAACAGCATGCCATAAATCAGGAATCGGCTGTCAGCAGTATAGTGCGTCACCTACATTAAGGGATTTCCAAGATGTAAAAAGAATGTAACTACTTGAATTGAAAAGATAAATAACATAAAATAACATAACACAATGCAAGGAACAGCACAGGTACTTAAAAATGAACAAGTTTCTCAAATGTGAATTCCGAGGTCAGTTAGCAGCTGTCAGATACTTTTAACCATGCATGAGAAACCCACCGTCATCGTAGATACATGCATTTGACCCCAGTTAAGCTGAACAAAAGCGGCAAAAACTGGATGAACTAACAAGTGCCTCCACCCTCAGAAAACTCCCTTTTATCATCAGGTTTCCGTTCACAGCAGTTGTGAAGTCTTTTTCAATAAAGCAGCATGTAATAGAGATTACCACATGATCCTTATGCAAATATCAGATGTATTCATTATAGTAACAACTACATGATTTTGTCTCTCAGCCATGTGCAATATTTGTCTCTGGTGTGCAAGGAGAGCAGCCCTAAGACGTGAGCTTTGAGTAGCTTGGGGGAGAAAACCTTCGTCTCAGGTACTTGAGTACGTAGAGGGGAAGACAGCTCACCAGAGTGATGACGGTGACTTTCCACAAGAACGATAAAGTTGCAATGAAGTAAACATCTGTATAAAGAAAAGAGCACAAAGTCAATGAATATGGGAATTATGTCCTGGAATAGGTTATAATACCTCAGAATCTTTGCAAAGATAGTTGAAGCATTGTTCAATATAGAGCTGGTATACCCATATGCACGAGATGCAGATCTAGCCCATGCGAAGTTATCCTTATTGTCTTCAGTTAGCAAAGAGCTTTATGGAAGAAGTAGTGACATCTTGTGGTTCCTGCATGAACACTGGAAGCAACCCTAAGGACCTGATATTTGCAATTAGACAGCTACTGGGCGAAGCTGGAATTTGTCACCCTTTTCCTTTAGCCAGGGAAAAGGATTAGCTCTGTTTCAGGCAACTAAAAAAACTCCACCAACCAACAACCAAACCCGTGACAGAGGGGCACCAATGAAGGAGATAAAATAAGTTTTAGAAGGCAGCTCCTTCACCCAGTTAAAAGATGAAATCTTTCAAACCAACAATAGAGGCTTCAATCTGTAGTCTCAAATTCAGTTTCCTTATGGAAATAAAGAACACTGTTATATATGACAGCTGATATGTGGTGGAGCTCTGAAAGTACAGATGACATTCACTGGGCAGCACATACTCTACTGACCACCTTTACCTCCTCTAGCATTTTGCTGTGAGAAGAAACCATCAAATGCCTTTAAAGTGCAATTAAATAATGCAGCTTATTCAGGTCTGAGATATTGTCATTGTAGTTATTTTTGGCTTCATAATCAGCCTTTAAGCTCAATTCAGCTCCTTACAGTCCTGTTACTATCCAGGTTATAAACTAACTGATTGGAGAAAAGGCATTTAACCTTACCAATAAATTCATGTAGGAAGACCAGAGAAGCTATGTAGCAGGAGAGACTAAGCAGCTCAGCCACTATCATGAGCCAGTGCCACGTCTGGATTGTCAACGCCACCATCAGTAACTCGGTGAGAATCAAGGAAGTGAAGGAAATGGCAACAATATGGACAAATTCAGATTCAAAGAGGAGGAGTGCTCCATACATGATGATGCTGCCTGCAAGGAAATGGAACATTTGGGTATTTTATTCAAACACCAGTTTAAGCCCTAAAACCCTCTGTAAAACCCTTAGGTCTTGGAAAGGCTGAAACATAGTCATGTCTTGAGACTGTTTTTCTGAAACCTGATTAATGTAATGACAATGAATCAGTTACTATTTAGGAGACAGAACTGATGAGAAGACAGGGAAAAGTTACAGCTGAGGTGCCCAGACTGTTATAACAGTCTATCATATTCATAGACACATGGAGATGGGAAATTAATACACGCTATTTTGGCAGCTGGAGATTTCTAACATCACAAAACTCTATCTTTCTCCCAGAAAAGCAGTTGGTCACTACTCAGAAGCTAAAAGATATTAAATACTTCTAAAACCTACTGCATTGCCTCAGTGCCCAGATGGAAGCAAGGTGCTGAAAAGCTCAGTGGATACAAGTTAGCCTGTCTTTGCACTACTTCAGCCAAGGTCTCTCCCCCTTACACTTCCCCCTAGAAGGAGCACATATTAAAGCACTGTTAATGATGCATTGTTTCATGCTCCTATTCTGGCTAGCCAGGCAATGCTCACAACGCTCCGCACGGCCACCTGCACAAATAACTCATGTTAGCAGCATGAGTAATCCGCACCAACATCCATCACACTAGGCTCATTTCGGAAGGGAAAACCTGCAAGTGACTAGAGCTTGAGCCACAAAGTTCAAATCCAGCTGTGAACTTTCCAAAGTTTAGGACTGCTCAAGTTTTTGGTCAGGCTCATCTCTGCTAGCAACTAGCCCAATCGTTTGGCCTGCTGTTTTCTAGTTATTTAGCACATCAGAAGTGAAGTCACTTTAACCAAATATTGTAACCAGATAGTGGTCTTAGCTCAAGAAGAAATCTTTCCCTCAATGCATCACCCTCTGGCTTTAGCTTTCCACCACTTGTGAGTTTTCTATAAATGCCTTGGCTTTGCCATCATATTTGTACAGCACCAGAAGGCCATTATCCCTGTTGTAGGGTTCTACCATATTAAGTTTCAGAAAATAATGCTAACAGAGGTTTTATATTCTTGGATTCACTCCCTACTGAGGATGGCTGTATCCATTATATCAGTAAGAATTATCTGCTTATTTTGGCACATTTATTCTGACTGTTGTTCATAAGGAAATTTTGGAAAGCAAGAAATTTTGTCACAGAATTATACTGCTGTTTTAGCTCCATGTTATTTACATGTTTTCCACAATTCCCTGATTAACACCTATAGAAAGCATTTGAGTTTGATGTTACTTGATAAAAAAAGAGAAAAGTAAAGACAAGACCTATAGTTCTAGTAAGAACTATTGCCACTTCTATTACACAGGGTTTAGATAAAAATACACAAAGCTACAGATTCTGTACTTTGCATGCTGACTTAACCTGTAGGTTAAGGTTAACCTAAGGTTTGCAAAACTTTTTTAAAAGAAGGGAAGAGTCACAGGCTCTACTCTACTGATGGAGCAATTAAAGCACTGAAAGGGGATTTGCACAGAATTACAAAGGATGGTCCTAATGGGAAAAGGCACAATGATTTGAACATCTACATCGCTGCCTACAATAGGGGTTGACCAGTTGCTGCCAATATTTAGTTTTAGATAATTTCTTCCCTTGGTAATGCTACCAAGATATTCTGAAAAACAAAAAATATTTTCATTAACCCAAGGATGAATTGCTAAATTCACTTCATGTCTTACTTCAATTCCTGCAATACAAAGAAATCAGATATTCTGCACTCATTAAAACATCTGAAGGCACAGGCAGAAGTTGATTTCTTACCTTGATAGATGCTTATTAAGACCCATATTAAAAAAGTTTTGTATGATAATGGTCGTCCCTAGTGGGGAAAGAAGAAAAAAAAAAGACAAAGCTCCATGGGGATTTTCTTTTATGAACGTTCACTTACAGATTATCAGCAATTGATAAAAGAGAACCAACCAGCCCTAAGGTACTATATCTTTATTCTCAATTTTCACGATGGATGAAGGAGGCCTGGGACTGTGGAAGCTCACTGCTTGCACAGTACAGTACAACCTCATCCTTACTGCACACACGATTAATTCAACGCCAAGAGTCTCATGAGTTTAGTCATTGTACTGTGAAATACAGGATGTGTGTATACACATATATATGAATATATTAATATTATATTTCTAGACACACACAAATCACCATCATCTTGAAGGCAGATAGCTTTTTTTTCTTTTAAAAAAAGCATCTCCAGCCAACACAGCTATACCAGCACAAAACCCCCCTATGTTTAGACCAGGCCTAAGGATGGTTGGAGAATTAGTGGTTTATGACATAAGAGACAACATACAAGTGAAACCAGATGGAGACTTATTCAGGCTGTTGGAAAACAGGCTTTGCTTTTTGAGAGTATCTGTTTAACAAAAATCCTTGAGGGAAACGATCTGTTGAAGACTCAGTCCACCCTTTCCCTCTGCTAAGAAGAATGTTGCCAGTCTGCACACCCCAGTTATTCAAAAAGTTTTCCAGGAGAGGAAAAAAATTAAAGAAAACAAAAAGAAACTTAAGACAAGAGTTACCTTCCTGATATTTCCACGGTAAATAGCAAATTAAGTTTTCTTCGTTTAATGTGAAGGACTCAACTTTCATGCTAAAGCTACAAAAATGGCACAGCAACCAAACCTTTAGGTCCCTTTAGATCATACTCAAGACAAATTTCTATTCAAGAAACTATGTGATAACCTCCTCCCTCCATCAAGTAAGCATATCCCTTCTCCCCACCCCCTTTTCTGGCTTCAGGATAGTGTCAAATCCCCAACAATTTCTCTTTCTCCTTTATTTTGGAACAAATCAGTAATATTAAATCCTTAGAATTTCCCACAGAATGGAAATTCTATTTCCCCAGCCATTTTTATAAATTGCATTTCATGTAGCATTCAATAACAAACTGCCAGGAAATCTGGTTGCATCTCTGGATTCAAATTTGCCTTTAAAAAAATTTTGCTTGAAAACACATGATAAGGTTCCGTATCTGCTGGTAATATATTTGACTTTACACATTTAAAGAGTTTCAAATCACGATGAGGATCTTGCCTTAAAACTAAAACAGACAAACAGGAGTCTCCCACACCTTAAGAAGATCTTTGTAGAGCTCTGGGTACAACATTGCAACTTCTGATTTAACATCCTTGTCCAGGACTAGAGAAAACACTGGAAACATCGTGTAAATTGTGGAGTACCTGGCAAGAAGGTAGAAGACCAGTAAATTATCTAAGGCATAGATGAACAAACAGAAATGCAAGTCTTCAGAAAGGAAATACAATATTCTTTAAGTGCCAAATGACATACATGTTATAAAAACTTGCAAATGGAATGTGCCAGAGTTGTGCATGTAGGAAAAACCTTCAAGGATTTACTTTTGGAATGGCTTTTGATTAGAAACCCTCATACTCAGATGATTGGTTTAAGTATTGCAACTGAGTTGTTACAGGGTTGTTAATGGAGCCAAGGACAAGCCTATCCCAACCCCAAAATTTGCTCTACAGTTCAGGCTTGATCCTGTTTCCATCAGGGGAAATAGAGATGAATTTGCTTTTTGTATTTTTAATTATGTACTCAAAAGCATAAAGTCATAGGATAGTAAGTTTAATCCCTGTATATTTCAGACTGGAACTCATTCCTCCTGTTGAAGAGATTGGGTTGTCCCCTGCTTCTAACACTGTCAAGAGTTGGGCACTGGCTCTCACAGCTACACAGGCACAAGAGCACAATGACTGTCCCTCTGCTTTTTACTAGGATCAAGGGAACAACTCTGGGAGGATGGCTTGCTTCTCATGTTCTGAATGTGACAAACTGCCCTTTTGGAAAGCTTTCTAGAGCTGGAGCAGTGGCTCTGCTCAGTGCAGAGGAGCAGAAGGGGGACACGGATAACATACATCATCTGAAGTAATGTTGTGAAACACACAGAGTGGAGATGTGCATGCTCTGCATACTAATTAGCCCAAATCTATTCATTATGTGCAGGTTTTCCACACTATGAGTAAAAAGTGACCTCTTACCCAATGATGAGAAAGCCTTGGTAGAGAGGAACTGAAGCAAAGTAAAACACTGATGAGAAAACAGCCTAGAAAACAAAAGAAATACGTTTTTCAGGCATTAAGATATTGCACTAAAAGCAACAGTTAAAAAACATACTCTGTTCAAACTGGAACATACTTGCAGTGGGTTCAAATTCCTGAAGTGAAGACAGAAGAATGTAATATCAACCCTTTTTATTCCTACACAAACCTTGCATGAAAGCAATATTTAATGGCAAACACTGGAGAGCTGGACTTGGAAAACTTTTTGTACTGTAATTCCACAGAAAATAACAGTTTCCTCCCGTCCACAGGTCACTGGTTTGATCCAGATGTTGTGAAGGACAGGTGCATACTTACTTATGCCTCGATGATGCCTTCACAACATAAAAAGAGTGAACACTCACCAATACAAACTCCAAAGAGCTCAAGATGATTTCTTTTTTATTAGAAGTTACGGGTTTGTTTTTTGTTCTTGCTTTCAGCTGCAGAGTAAGCTAGACTGCCCCCTGAGCCTGAACCTTTTGTCTCTATGCATCCCTCTCCAACATGTTTATTCTGAAAAGGGGAGCGGGCAGAACCAGACTTCTCAAAAACATGAAGTATTTTACCCAAAAAGCATGTAGTGTTTTTTAGGAATGTATCAGTACATTATGGCATGAAAACGCAACTCCCAAAGAGTAAACCTCTGCTCTTTACTGTAACTTTCACTCAAGTCACCTCAGCTAAGAGTGGAATTTGGCTCATAAGTTCTTAAAATTGCTTTCAACTCTCCCTGCCAACTGGCAATTGTATGTATTTGTTACACTGAGGCTCTGCACACATGAGCGATGTAAATTTTGTTAGTAACAAATCTGTTTCTAAGGTTCCCTTTGAAATGGAGGGGAACAGAATGCCTCCTGCTGCAGTGAGCTGCTGAGTACTTAGGAAGGTTAATACAAGCTTCAGCAGCCTTTACAGCACAGCTCCCATGAACGCTCCACAGCACACCAGACTGAGCTGTTGGTAACCTCATCAGGGTCTGAGCCAAGTCATCCTCAGTTGCTTAAATAAGGGCTTCAACTTCAGTTGCACTATTTAAAACACACCTGAAAATAAGTGCACTTACTCAGCAGAGGCCTTGAGAGTATAGCCCTGCTTCAGATTTTCAGTATTTCCTAGCATTACTAAACAACAGCAACAACATGCTGTGCCATGTGAATATTCTAGGGTAGAATGTTTTTTGCCCAATATCAGTAACTTTCTTATGTGTCTTCATATCAAAGTAACAACCTCAAGTTCCAACTCATGAAAATTTGTAGGAATATAAATAGTTGCATGCAGAATGAAACACAGAACATTTACTTTTTGATTTGTTCTTTTCACCTCTGAACTGGAAAAACCCTCATGACAGACCATTTACCTGCATTGTACTGATGCACAGGCTCCTGTGGATGACAAACTGACTGAGAGCTGCAGACCGTTTGTAACTGTTCCTTCCATGCACCATTAGTAAACGACCCAGATGTTTAAACTGAGTGATAGAGAAATCAGCTGCAAGCGATGCCTGTTTTCCTTCCTGTGTACAACAGCAAGTAAAAGCATAGGGAGGTAATTTCATTATTGGAAACAAAGAAATATCATATTATTCAGTTATTGCTGACAGAATTTCCAAGAAAATTTGCAATACATTAGGTGGAGGAGAGCATTACCTCAGCACTTCTGCCTTCCACCATGGTTTATAAGCAGAGAGCAAAAATGAGGAGAATTCCCATTTGAACCCTGGGCTCCAATTCTAAGCAATCCTCTGGATTATGATTCACAATGTGCATGCTAACGTGACACTCATATCAAGTCAGTTTTGAACTCAAATTTTCAGTCTCAGAAGTTCAATCAATTTTAGTGTTTTGGCTCACTCCAAGCAGAGGCTTTCCACTGCCTTCAAATCCAGTCTGGTCACTCCAAGCAGCTCTATATGCAGGAACCAGAGCTCTAACCTAGAGTTTGCTTTCTAAATTAATATAAAGAGTTTTTAGTTGTAAATGTGGAATAGATGTTATCAGAGTAATTATGACTCCAGCATTTGTGGCATCTATGTGTGATTAAAAACTCCAAAACTAACCATGATGGGCAGATTCCCTGAATTTGGACAAGAACAAAATAACTAACTTGAATTCTCTTGAACAGTAGTCTCCTTTGCAGCCAAGTTATTTTTCATGATAAGGCTATGGGTCTGGTGATTATTCTTATGAAAACTTCTCATGTTCTTGCACAAACTTCTGAGGATTCATTTAAGAGTTACTTGTGAACTAGCTCCCGAGCTGCCACAAGAAGTCTTCTTAAACACGAGGTAATCTCACCTTTCCTTCAACTCCAACACCACAGTCAGCCTCCTGAATCATGCTAACATCATTCCCTCCATCACCTGCAGGTCAGACAAATGACACTGGTAGTTAAGCAACAGGGGCAACTTGCAAACCCACTAAAGACATCTGCACCAGATTGTAATATTAAAAGAAACATTTAACCCCATCAACATAAGCAGGATTTTAAACAACAAAAGCATGATTTTAAATAAAAATAATGAATTTGGAGTTTGACATTTATCTTTGCTGGATGCCTCAGCAGTTTAGGGGCAGTTGAATGCCAGCCCTCACCCCTTACCAGCTGAAAATCAGACTTTTATTTGCCTATCACCAAGCACTTGTATGAATGTAAGTTTTAGGAAGTTTAGTTTTGTTTTTAATAGATCCACAGGTCTGATCACTTTATCTGTCTTTTAAGTGCACTTACAGCTAAGCACTTACTGTATGTACCTACATTGCTGAAATAAAGCTCACAAATTAACAATGGCACTTTATCTGATCAAGTTCAAGCTCTGTTTTGCAAAGATATCACCCTAAATATTTATGAGTTTTTCATATAACTTATGAATTTTCATATTCATATTTTATGAATATTTATTCAAGTTTCCATATGCAAAACTTCATCTTCTCAACCATCCCGCAAAAAACTGTTTCCTAAATCAGCACTTCAGGGTTATTATGAGATAACATGGGACTATTCACTCAAAAGAAATAGTAAAGACACCACCCTACATGGTTTCTCATCCCTAACATAGGCCCTTACCTACTGCACAGGTGAGCTTGCCAGTCCTTTCCTGGAGCAATCGCACAATCTGGGCCTTCTGTGTCGGAGCACATCTGCAGCACACGACAGCAGGGCACTGGCAAGCCAGTTCCATGAACTCATACTCATAGTATTTCAGACACACCTAATTTAGAGAGATCAGAAGCATCACCGATGTTTGTACTAGGAAAGTTTCTTTAAAATAACATAACCCAGAGTCAGCCACAGTGTTTTGGGGCTTTAACAGCCTGAGGTGTTTGGAGCCTACCTCCAACGAGTCACCAGAAATAACAAGAGCGCAGTCGTGCTTCCGGCGGAAGGCATTCAGCTCGAGATGGGCTTCTCCACGGTTAGTCACCTGGGGAAAAAGATGGCAACTGAGGAAGGGTTTGCTTCACTGGGGTGAAAAACCAAACAAACAAGTCTCAGAGGAAGCCAAAGCAATATGGACAGGCAGCACACTGAATTATTCAGAGCACAGAGTCAGATAAACAAAAGCTCAGGGGATAGAAAGATGTGTCAAAAGGATAATAATATTCTGGGTCTGGAAAACAGTTGTGATCTAAGCACCCCTCCTGTCCCAAAGTTTGGGGTCCCAAACAAGTCCTGAGAGAGGGGTACGTGGGTGTTACTCACTAGCCTGAATATATGGATGTCCTGTGTTCGTGTCACCAAATGTGCATTCTTGGCTGTACACGTGGCTGTCTCCAACTTATCCCCTGTCAGCATCCACACCTAAAATCCAAATATTCAATGCCTTAAATACAAAACTTAACAACCACGTCTGCAGAACATCTAGAAGTATCACCTGCCGGTTCAGGCACATAAAAGGACTGTTAGAACATATGTACAAACTGTTCTTCTAAAAAGGCCCTATTTTAAAACATACAAGAAAAGTCTCACAGATGAAAGAAAGCAAAGCTTTTAAAGAGGCTGAAACACAGAAGAAATTACAAACTATGTGTAACATTTTTTCCCACCTGCAATATTTCAAGATTCTGCTGATAAACCCACAAAACTCAAGCTAAAGAATGCGTATGCGTGTGTTAATGTGTCCCACCCCAGCTATTTCTCATATGCTGAAATAAGCGGGCCCTGCTGCAGAAAGATCCCTCGTGGCCCTGCCTAAAATATGGATGATGCAACTGGGGTTAGCTCACTGCTGATGTGTGCGTCTGGAACAGACTCAGTTGGTTGTTGCTTTTCTTTTTTTTTTATTAAATATACACTGCTCCTTTTATTTTGTGCTAGTGAGGGGGGGGGTGTTAGAAAGCAATGTCAGCAGCTATAACCAGCAGCAATACCCGGTTAGAATCTGACAGGAAATTCTCTCAACAGTGTAAATATACCAGAGTTTTGGGTTTGGGGTTTTTTTTTTCCACTGGTGTTTTTATTCTTTCAAGACATTGCCCAAGAATATTTAATGAAACTTTTTAAAATATACACATACATTTATATATATTAAAAAAAGCCAAACACAAACACAAAGAGAAAAGGAAAAACCCAAAAAAACCCCACACACAAAGACTCACTTATTTGTTTAATAATCTGAGGCTGGAAAGAGATTTGATCTTAACAAGATGGTCCCAGTAATGAATCACAAGACTGCCTTCCCTCTTGATTTACTTCTTGCATGCAAGACCCTAACGAACATACCATTGCAAGGAGTGCTCTGAAGTGCCTCCCTGGCTGTGTGATGACACACTCCACACCCTGACACTGACTCTAGCCAAGGTGAAGAGAAAAAAAAAAAGTGAAACCAGCTTTGGAATAACTGGCCAGGGCTACGCTGCGGGGGGAAAAAGCTACAGTGCTGCTAAGGAGCTCTGTCTGATTCCACTCGTCTCACTTCTCTCCTCAAATCCCTGCTGTTTACAGGGATGATTCCAAACAGAAAACTCTTTTGGAAGCTTGTCCCAACCTTTGCATTCCACTTCCTACCTAAATCCCAAACACACAGCCCTGCTTTGGATTCATAGCATGGCTCAAGATTTTTGCTCCTATTGCTACTCACAGCAGAGAAACCCCAACCAGAACCTTTTACCCACTTTTCTCGCCCAAATCCGAATATTTAGTCCATTTATTATTTTTTTCCTCCTTTTTGCAAGTTTGGGATCTGACTGACAAGTTTTCCGAGATGGGAACTAAGCAGCACCACCGGTTCTCCCACCGCTGAACACAGCTCAGGCCACAGCTGTCTGAACCTTACATACTCAAGCCCCGAACACTGGAAAAAGTCAGTCCAGTCCCCGATTCCCTTGGCTCAGACCCCCTCTAGTGGCTATTGAAAAGTTGTATATTCACAGCTTCAACCCCCGCACAGGAGCTGGTGCACCAGGGACCCAACACACCCAAATCAGGCTTGTTTCATACAACATCTGAAACAAACAATTGCCCAAAAGTCTCTGCCTACACACTCAGCTTCTCTGCAGATGGAGCCAGAGCATGTTATGGGAAGATATCCTGTTTTCAGCTGGAACAGAGTTAGTTTTCTTCCTAGTAACTGGTGCAGTGCTGTGTTTTGGCTTTAATCTTGAGAATAATGCTGATAACATACTGGTGTTTTAATTGTTGCTAAGTAGCACTTGCCCTGATCAAGGACTTTTCAGTTTCCCATGTTCTGCCAGTGAGGAGCACAAGAAGCTGGAGAGAGCACAGACAGGACCTGAACTAGCCGAAGGGATATTCCATACCATAGAACATTATGGTCAGTATAGAAAGTGGGGGGAGTTAGCCAGAAGGGGTTGATCTCTGCCCAGGGACTGGCTGGGCATCGGTCAGTGGGTGGTAAGCAATTGTATTGCACACTGCTTGTTTTCTCAATTTTCATTTTTCTTTTTTTTGTTGTTCCCTGTTATTATAATCAGTATTGTCATTGATATTATTTCTATTATCACTTTATTTTACTTTGTTTCAATTATTAAACTGTTCTGATCTCAACCCGTGGGTTTTACATTCCTTTGATTCTCCTCCCCATCCTACCCAGGAAGGGGAAAAGGGGAGAGTGAGTGAGTGGCTGTGTGGTCCTTAGTTACCATCAGGGTTTAAACATCATGAGAAGAAAAGCACAGAAGGTGACATGCTTTCATGTGTTCAGTTAACATTTACTTTTTCCAGCATGTTCTGTTCCCAAAGTGGTGTTTAAAATGCATGTAGCTTGAAAGGGCCTTCACACTGCCACAATTCACTGGCTGTAAGACAGTGCCACATACTCAAGAGGGTCCAAGTGTTCCAGCTAGGAGTAACACTAGGTTGGACAGACCTTAATGCCAGCATTCCTCAGTGTCTCCAGAGTGGGTCTGACATCCGCCTGCAGCTGATCCTCCACGCCGGTGAGGCAGAGCAGCTCCATCTCCATTTCCAGGCTCTCAATGACTGTGGCTACCTTCAAGGAGCGGTCATGCACACTGAGCTTCGCCTGGACGTAGCGTGCCTGAGGACAGAGCAGACACAACCACTCACTCACACAGCCAGCCTGGAGTTCTGTGGAACACAGGGTTAACCAGTTAACCTCCCACTGTTAACTTTCATTGAGGGATACCACCTGTAATGGCTGGTGAACACGAGGTGTATGCTACAGAATAAGGTAGAAATTATTTCAGGAACTTTCTGTCATTTTGTCCCTGTCCTGTTTCAGCTGGGCAGCACAGTGCACATCACATCCTTGTGTACACCAATGCACATCAGCTGCTGAAGTGGGATCTGCAGAAACCCTGGAAACGACTCCCTTGTACCACAGGTCTAACCATGGTTTTCGCAACTAACACATCTACAATGGCAATGGAGAATCCGAGGCATTTCCAACATCTCCTCTCTGCATTTAACTTAATAGTTCTGTTTCACATTTTGCCTGTCTGGGGTAAGCAACACAGTGCTGTGTGTAGAGACCTATCTAATAAACCTCACATGTGAAGCCTGTGTTTCCATGAAACTCGGCTGGGTTATGTTGTGGTTGTTTGTAGTTTCCATGGATGTCAGAATGCAACAATGAAAACTGAAAGCCAACGTGTTTCCCCACACAAACACAACTTGTCTAACAAATGATGAATATTTGCAGAATTTATTACTGCAAAAGATTATAAGGCAGGATTCAGGAACTGTTTTGGAGGGTCCTGGCTGGGATCCAGTTTCATACGTATCACTTAAAAGGCAATTTTGACATTGAAGAATGACAATTCTAGTACGATGAGAGGCAGCGTTATCACCAGAGGTCTGTCAGAATCACTTCAGTGGTTGTTTAAAAACAAAGAAAAGTAAACAATCAAAAACTTACTTCAAAGTCTTGATACTGCTCTTCCGTCAGAGACTTCTTGGCTACAACAAGAACCCTCAGGCCTTCCCGAGCCATGTTACCACACTGGAAAGAAATATCACATTGTAAACCATAAACTCCATCTCAAGTAAGATGACTTATGCACAGCATTGCAGATTTGGCAATGTAAGATAGCAAGTTCAGAAAATAACTATCCTATTTGAGCAACCCTAGTGAGCCTGTAACATCTGATAAAGTGCATGATAAACCTGAGAGGGGAAAAAAGGAGACCTGCAATAGTTTGCAATCTATTCCAGCGATCAGAAATAAAAAATGTTCTCTCTGCTGTACTAGGGTGACAAAACCCACCCCACTGATTTAACTTTCTCCATGTCTAAGTAAATGGACACAAGCCTTTGATTTGTAAACTTCAAATCTTTGGCCATCAACTCTTTCAAATAAGACCAAGGTAATGCTATTTCTTTGAACACCAGGGTTTGGAGGTGGGGAGAATCACTAAGTGAAGGTACTTCTATGAACTCTGTGTCAACATTACTACTAACCTGACAAAGATATCCCAGTATAAACCTGTCCAATGTAGTTTTGAAACTCGACCTTTCAGTCTACAATAAATACAAACACAGGATCGAGCCCAGGACAAATTTGGTGACCTTGCAATCAGGTTTGAGCAAAATCCATTTTATTTACAGGACATATTTTGCACTAAGTACATTGAACTCGCCACCTGACTTCTTCGTTACTACGTATGTATTTGGCTGAAGACTAATTCAATGAACTGCCAAGAGATCAGTGACCTTCTGACTCACAGATGTTTTAGCAGTTATGTCCACCCTGCCACGCTGACAAGCTTTGTCATGTGTTGCCCTGGAAGGAGAAAAGCACTTGCATGAGAAACCCCACATACATAGGGGAGACAGCCCTGTACCTCCTCCTCCAGCCAGTCATTGTACTGCACGATCCCAGCCATCACAACATCAGCCCCCTTCATATAGAATGTGATCTCTCCTGTTGATTCATCCTGCAGATAAGAAACAAAAGAGTCTAAGTTGGGCCAGTATTAGCATATTTGAAGTGGCCTTAATGAGCTAAGTGATGAGTTTTCTGCACGAGTCACAAAAATGTCTGCACTGGATCAGGCTGAAGGTCCATCTGTCTCAGCATCTTGTCTGAGGGCCAAAAGCAGATGTGTATTCAATTGTAACTTGGTTACTCAGAGCAGAAATTAATGGTTTAGACAAGGATGATGAGATTTTTAATCAGCAACATGACATTTCCATACAGACACCTCTCAATCCTGATTGCGTGTGCCTTTGGAATAACCTCTAGTCCTCACCTTGAAAATTTATTTCATACTTACTTGAAGCAATAAAACAGATGCATGAAGCTTAACAGAGTAAAAAACACTCTAATTTACCCCCTCTGTTACACTATATGGCATAAGCATAATTAAAGTTTATGCTTGCCACAGAAAGGTTAGATTGCTGCCTGCCTTATCCGATACAAGTAATCTGCAGGCTGCAAGAAAAGCGTATTTACACTACCACAAATTAAAAAATCCCTTCTAACCAGGCAGATATCTAAGGAGGTCACAGCTATTAGTATTACAAGCTAATGGAAACCCTGGCGATTTCCTCAAAGGACATGAAACAATGAGTAAGGGACAAACTGCTCTGTAAACCAAGATAGCCACCAGGGATAAGAAGAAAATAAACTTAACACAGAAAACCAAAAAGCCCAGGAGGGTTTGTAAATAGACAGCTGCAAATGAAGGGGGGAAGGTACTTTAGGAAAAAAAAAGAAATTAAAGAAAAGCACAGCGGACACTTTTTCTTTCTCACACTATTAATATACATGGCAATCACTTCAGCCATTACAGTAAGTAGCAGTGAAGGGTCTCATACACTAACAGTTAGAGTTGGTAGGTAAAAGTCTAACACCCTATGGCACTAGCAAAACAGTTTACAGCCACAGCTAAAAGAAAAAGCAGCAACTAACGTGGATAATAAAAATACAATGAGAAGCAAGTGTCTTTGCTAGGGAAATTAGGAGTAACCAAGGATAACGAAGCTCCTTTACTGAACATTTTTGCCAAGCTCACAGAGATATTCACAAGAAAGATTCTTAGAATTAAGCTTAAATAGTTTTCAATGTCCTGAAACATCCAACCTTCATTTACTGACACCCACACATCCCCAAAGCAAAATGTGTGTCAGTCTACCAAAACAACCAGAAACCACTCAAATAAAACAATGCTTTTGGCAGTAGCTAAAGGTAAAGGTTTATCTATTAAATTATTTGATTAAAAAGTGTCTAACAACATCTCTGTAGGAAACTGAATAAAGACTCCACTTCCTGTGCTGCAAAACTGGCTTAAGATAGTTTAGATTTTTTTGTCCAATATAAATACTGTATCAGCTATCTCCTTGCATTAGTCATTTCCTCTCACCGAGTTCAATAGGAGGTTAGCGCGTTCTCATATTATGGTAAGATCACACTATAAATCTACACAGAGATTTGCCAGTTATATTGTTTTGGAGAGGCATCTTTTTCCACCGTGGTCTGACTTTGGCCATGGTTCAAAGGCTTCTTTCAATTCCAGATATGACAATAGCACTATCTTTGCTTTACAACAAAGATCATTCCACACGGGTAAGGGGAAAAACAAAAAATGCAAAGAAAAAGAAGAATGGAAAATATTGTGGTCAAACAAACAGGCCTTCTTTCAAGAAGGTAAGTCGGTAAACAGGACGGTGAAGAGTGGCTGCTTTGTAGAAACAAGAATTCTCAGAACTCAGAATAATCAGCTACAGAAATGACAGTTGATAACTAGCAAACAAGAAGATATTACAAAAATATCCCAAACAAGGCAACATCTGCTACTTGTTTCCATCATTAACTACTACTTTATTTACTAGAAGTTATATGTTGAAGGAGATCTTTTTATAGAAGCCAGAGCAGGCAGGACCAGCAGGGAGATGGGCGCCCCTGCTAAAGGTTCAATAACAGCACTGCTGGGCTGGACACATGAATCACTCACTGAAATTCCATACCCAGACTGTACAGGAAGCCTGGCAGGACAATCCCACTGGCTCCTGCTAGCTGAAAAAAAAAAGCAGTTTATAAAAACGAGCAATATCCATATAGTTGAGCAGAAAATATTGCCATTTGAATTCTACTCACTACAGTCCTGAGTGCAGTTTCAGTCTGCAGTTCTCCCTCCCTCTCCTTCCTGGTTGCTCACTGTGTCTGTTCTCTTCTGGATACTTCAAGCTACTTTCCTTCCTCTTATTTCTGTTTTTTAAACAAGTTTTAGAAGATACAAGTTTTTAAACAAGTTTTAAACTGTTTTTTAAACAGTTTCAGAAAATACACTGAAGAGGTAAACACCTTGTTAAGTTGTGGATCAAAACGAAATGGAGTGCCTACACATGCATACATGTATATTTAATCAAAGAAAAATTTAACTTGACAACTACCTGTTTAATAAACCTTTCTTTTTCCTTTTTCTTTTTAATAGAAATGAAAACCCTGCTTAAAGTAGTATTTTGGGAGTATACAAGAACATTGCAAAGCATTACCTAGGCACCCAACATCTGCTACGTACACCCTACTTCCGCATAGGGTATATAGGGAGCTGATTTTAGCAGCTTAGCGGCAGCTCAATGGCTGCAAAATAAAGACACACCATTAACAAGCACAACAGAGAGGGGCCAACGTTTCTATTAACAGTAGTTAGTCAAGATCTGTGCCTGATGTTGCTCCCACTGACCACCAGTGGGAGTTTTGCTGGTTTTGGTAGCATTAATATTCTAAATACAGAAATGCAAAACAGAAACCTTTTTCTTCCTAATGGCAGAGAATGTAGATAATAGATAACTTAAAAGGAATGAGCTTCAAATCAAAGAAGGCAAAACCAAAAGGACTCTTGTCCACTTAGATGGAAAAATTTCAGAGCATCCACTTCCCTGCTGAGCATATAAACACAAATGAAACATACCCTGGCTTCAACGGTCAGCCCATTTCTCACACCTCTGCAAACAGCATCTCATCAGAAGTTTGCCCTTTCAATAAGCAGTGGGGAGGATTTAGTACTCTGTCTTTATTGCTAATGTTTTTATGCTAGGTCTTGAAAAGGTTACCTGAAGTGTCCACATAGTTTTCACTATAAAAATAAATAATCTGAAGAATCTGCACTTGCTGTATTTAAACACTATATGCACTATACTTGCTGCAGCTGTCCCACGCAACATTTGTGAGGACTCTAACACTGCCGGCTATGTACATTCAATGGCATTTGGTCAAACTCTAGATTCACAGATTTAACCCACTGATTACTTTGCACAAGCTCAGCCTATCAGCCCACTTCAACTAACATTCCTGCCCTTGGGCATGTTTTAATATTCCAAAGCCTGGAACAACTTGAAATACAAATTTGTTCTCTGTACACTGTAGTGTGTTGTGTAATCCAGAACTCAAAAGCAGTTCCTTGAACAACAGGAGATTCACGTCCAAAATACTCAGGTAGGATAATGCAAATACAGCCATTTGCATGAGTTTTAATGATGTTTAGTCCACATTAAACACAGCTTGTCCTTCATGGGTTTGTGAAAATAATTATATGCACCTCTTACAGTACCATATTTATCACCAGATCTCTTGGTAGCAGCAATACTGAAGTTCTCCAGTATTTGTTGTTGTGGAATACAACCACTGCATTGCTCCATTTTACATCATCCCTTCAAGATGCCATTTCTGACAGGGGCTGTGCTATTCCAGGCCTACAGAGAAGCTGAGATTTGTGAAGCTACCAAACATCAACCAATAAAGCAGACTACAATAACCTGCTATCAGTGAGGGCCATGCTTCTAACTAAAAGCAAAGGCAACTCCTCCTATTGTTGTAACTTAAAATACATGAGGCAGAAGATATTTTTACACACTATTTCCAGACACCCCAAAATAAACATGCAACAAGCCAGTTCTACAACAAAGTAAATGGAGGGGGAGGGAAAAAGGGAACAAACCCACTAATCTTACCTATTCTCTCAACCCTAACAAACATACAACAAACTTGCACATCCCAAGAGATGATACAACAAATCATATCTTGCCCTGGATTACAGGTTTCATATTCATGTTTTAGATTCCTGGTACCAGTTATCTGTCTGTACGCTCAGTAAAAAATAACAAGGATGTTTTAATTATCTCCAAAAGAAATACTCAGACTGCTTCACCTTGTTTGCTTTGCAGGCAAATGGAAGTGTCTTACCATAGTTGGCTTTACCTTCCTTACACAGACTCTCTAGCACTATCTTGAAAACTAATGATGGTAACAGTGACAACTGATCTCAACTGTTTTTAACACCCACACTTTCTTCTTTTTTTTTCCTGAAAGTCCAATCTTACATTGTATTCGATATAGAACCATAAAGTTATGCATACAACTTCAGCTGGGCACGTATTTAGGGTGCGCAGTCCCTGTGGCTGCTGATAAAGGTACTTGCACAAATGCACCCTTTTACCTTTACTCAGCTATTTTCAATCTCTACTTATGACACCATGGCTGTAGGCTCTGTTGCATAGCTCAAAAAGAGTTCACTGCAGCTACAAGTGCTTCCTCCTGCAGTTCTGTACTTCCATGGGGTCTGAAAGGACTTTCAGTGCCTGGCAGAGATCTGAGGAGCACTCCTAAAAAAACAGTAACGATATCCTAAAGTTATTTATCATGGCATTGGTCATGATCCCCTCCCTCCTTCCCGCTTGCTGCCATCTCCAACACGCCCTGATGTACTACCACAACTGCTTTGGAGATGCAGTGTAAGCTGGACCTGTAAGCCTGTTTGAATTCCTGCTCCTGGCTGACCCTGAGGAGGGGAGAGAACTTGTGACTTGGGTCACCTTGCAGCCCCAGTCTACCATACAGTCCCCCCCCAACTCTGCCAGCACGATTATGGCATGGGAAGGACAGGTAGGAGCTTTTGGATAGATAAGACAACCCCAGGGACACAGATCAAGGCTTCAAAGCCATTCCCCCTTGTCCTATCCCTATCTGCCCTTGTAAAAAGTCTCTCTCCAGCTTTCTTGTAGGTTCCTTTAGGTACTGAAAGGCTGCTGTAAGGACTGGAAGGCTGGTGTAAGATCAGTACACTAAAGATATCCCAGGGCATTACAGCACTTACCACTAAATTGGTCAAGGAAAAGGATGTCTACTAACCAAACCCAGCAGTGAGATGTCCATAGCTCAAAACAGAGAACGAGCCTACAGCCCGAGGTAGAAGAGACCACAAAACTCAGCCAGGAAGAACAGCACAGCTGAGAACAAGTGTTTTACAAGTTTCACGTTGTGTTAGCAGGAGATTCACAGACATGAAAGCTTACCCGAAGCCACTTACCCGAACGATTATCCCCATGCGCTTGCTCTCGTAAGTGAAGGGGAAGATCTGGAGGATGGTGAAGTTCAGGATATGGCCACCCGGTGTCCTCAGCTGCACGGAGGACTGGTCTCTACCCACCAGCGTTAAGCCCACGCTCTCTGTCCACTGTACCAGGGCCACCTGAGAGGAGAAGGCCAAAGTAAGGGAGGCCAGTCCAAGCCATTCCTCCCCTGAGAAGCATCAGTGGGGAAGGGATAGGGCTGCAGAGAAGCTCATTAGTCATTAACGGTGCTATAGAACAGATCAGTTCATACAAGCTCCTATATGGCTCTTTCTATCAAGTTTTTTCTGAAGTTAGAAGCTTACTAGCAGAAGTTTTGGGGTTTGGGCAGCCCAGTTCTTGTCTGATTCAGCTGATGGGATGTCCCAGACTCTCAGCAGGAGGTGGTAAAATCCCTGCCATCAACTACCACATCCCTTCAGCCAGGGCATGCACAGGTACCCTTTGCCCAGACCTGGGGTGCTTGGGCACATCAGGCACATGCCTTTACAAATGCTTCTTGAACATGTTATTTCCCAGCTTGCTGTTTATGAAATCAAGAATTCAAAACAGTGCATTACCCTGGATTGACAATATCAAAGCCAGAAACACTAATGCAGAGCACATTAAAAATTCACATTAAAAAAAGCAAACAAAATGAGCTCTGCGTTATATTCTGGTAGTAACAGTTCATCAGCAGCTTTCAACCTCTGCAATGATCAGTAAGACAGCTGAAGGCTGGCTCAGACACTTCTGAGCAGAGAACCATTTCTCCCCAAGCATTAAATCCCCTCCACCAAAATAAAAAACCCAAAACACACCCCGGAGTGTTCAAGGCACACTCATTTAAATGAATTTATGTGGGTATCACTTTGATTGCAGCTCCTAGTATTTAAGGACCTACAACACTAAATTCATCACAAGCTTTCACTTAGATTACAACCAGTCATGACAGATGACCCAAGCCTTTATTTTGCTTCCCTGACAATTCCACCAGAATCCTCACCTCAGCTGACACATCCATCTAAGATGCAGCCTGCTGAGATACGGGGGTTTAACTCTAGAAGCTGTCTTGGCAGTAACAGATGGGAGCAGCAGCTGACATGAGCCCATATATCACTGGCCTCCAGAAAGGATCAAGGGATACTTTCTCCAAACAGACATGAAATACTGGAAGTATTTTACGGTGACATTTTCAAAGGCATGAGAGTACTGGGCACATGGTTGCTGCTGACTTGAAGGTTTATTATCTCTTGTGCCTTTCAGGTTCTGTTTTTAATGCCTTAAGTGACCACAAATGCCTTAGACAAAAATGGAATTTATTTGGGGAAATCATACATAAGATACAGATAAAAATGGAAGTATTTATTATAAAAACCTTTAAATCAATTTGAATCAATATTTGGTTTAATATTAGCAAGTTTTTGTAAGCTTATTCACAAAGATTACAACAAATCAAAAGCTCTTTCAAGCTTATCTTTTACAAAAGTTTCCTCAAGCCATCCTTGGTGCATTAAGGTGTGCAGTTAGATAATCCTCCTAACAGTCTCCCAGAGCAGATGGGGCTTGGGTTTCTAATACTCTGGTTAATATATAATTATCAAGAATTTTTCACAGCATGAAGTTATGTGATGGTCCGTGTGCGCAGCACTGTTGATTTGCCCATGGTGGTAAGCTGCAAATCTCTGGAAACAGAAATCTCTGCTCCCAGCTCAGCCTGTTAGAGCATCTCCTTTGCTACTTTCTTTCACAGACACCTCCTCCCCTGACAGAGTCTCACTTAAGTCCTATGTCAGGAAGCATTAAAGCCTTGTGCAGAGCACCAAATGGATGAGCAGCACGTCAGAGGTGCTAAGTCATGCCCGTGACATGCTTCAAACTAACTGTTGCACTGAACACCACCAGTCACTCCTGATGGCCCCGTGATCACAAAAAGATATGTCAATGGAAGGGGATGAATAATGAAAGACATCCCCCTTTTTCATGCTGCTCCTGAGAAGGCATGGGTCCTGTCAACCCTTAATGGCCCTCCAGGTGAACTGCATTCAGCACCAGAGGGGAAGTGGGGCTGACCCCTTTGAAGATGCCACTTCCCAGCCTCTATAGTGCTTAATGAATAATTACTGAGAGAGAAAGTGATATAATTTTGAAGTGTTCCTATCAGATGTACTAAAAGCATTGAAATTGCCATCCCCATTCAACAGGCAACACAATGGGGCCAGCCTCTGGGAAGTGCTGATGGCTCTTCTGCAGGGTCTTGGCACCCCAAGACAGGGAGCATGTTCCAGCTCAGTGTGAGACAGAAGAGGTTTACTCTGTACTGTGCAAACAGATAACCAGAGGTGCTCTCAGTCACAGCAAAAAGATGAGAAACATTCAAAATGCAAAAATATGTTTACAGCTTAAACTGAGGAGATTTAAAAGCAGGCTTGAAATCCCTCAAACACCTTCAAGAGAGCCCACACTCACCGATGAGGGGAAATGAATAAATCCCTTAACCACACTCCAGGATTCTGCAGCTCCATCCAGGCCAAGTCAGATACAGATCTGAGCATTACAAAGCAGAGCAGCTACACGCTATCCCCCAAACTTTGCTCTTTCTGACAACTGAATTACCCGAGCCACCACTGAAGTGGATATCGACTAATAAATTTCATTCTAAAGAGACAAATTGATCCTTCTGTGCCATGAGTTGCTCTACAAACGTCCCATTTAGGGTTGCCTAGGCAGACAGACAGCAGGCAGAAACCAATTGATCGGTGCACCCTTTCATGTCCTGGCAGCTGCAGCGGGTTGTCAGGGTTAAAGATTGTTTGCCCAGGAATCCCAGGCACTCTTATCTCTGATCAGATTATATCTATTTCATTTCCCCTGTTAGTTACTGTATGGCTACAACTGACAACTGGCTTGCAGAGCCCCAAGGCTGTAACCGATATCTGAATAAAGATACTTCAAGACTTCTAAATGGCAGCATGCACAGGAAACAAATTTAGGAAATCCTGCTTTCTGTTACAGGAAATGAATCCTATGCCAACTGGTAGAAATTACCCTTGCTGTTAAAGTAAAGAGAATACAAGGTTTTGTACTCATTTCATAAACTGACCTTCCCTGCCATGGCAATATTTTATTGATATAGGATTTCAAAGGCTGGCTTTAACAGGAGTCCAAAGCCATTCCTCTACAGGGAATGCTATTTAACAGCATTGCTCTCTTCTCAAGGACTCAACTTGTGCTGATCCTGCATTTTGTACCATCTAGTATGGCATACACAGAGCATGTCTAAACAATATTTGTGTATCTAAGACCTACAGACAAGATTTTGTCAGTGCAACAAAGCATATCTGATTTCTGGACCCATTGTAATTCACCACTTAAGACACCACAAGAAATGAAAAAAGAATTTAAACTATAAACCTGGGTTAGTTATCATGGTATAGTAAAACTAACAAACAATAATCCCTTCGGTATTTGAGACAAATTGCTGCATAAATGTTTTAAAGACAGAACAGTATAAAGCAAAAAAGGAGAAGAAAAATCACCGACTTCACTATATACCACTGCATACACGTAAATAAACAGAGGATCTGGGCAAAAATAGCCAGTAAATGCTTTAGGAAAACAAAACAAAACAAAACAAACAAACAAAAAAAAAAAAAACACAAACCCAAAATCAAAAAAACCCACTTAAATACCATCTGGAAATCATTCAGAACTCATTTCAATCCAAAGGCAGTTGCTTTCTGTAAGCTGTACAGGGGACAGCAACGCATCAGAGGAGAAAAGCAGGTAAGCAAAATACTGACCTAGATTATGTGGTGGGAAAGGACATACATGCACACAGCTCACCAGCTCCAAAGCCAGGTACGAGTAAGTACTTGTTGTGACTATAGGCACACCAATAGAGGCGGGAGGAAAAAAAGCCAAAGTGCAGCTTCGTATAGTACAGACACTGTGTGAAATGAATGAATTGCCTACTTTGGAAGAAAACACTACAGGGAATATTTTGAATGCACATGAAATGTGGAAGCTAATTCTGTGCCAGTGTTTCAGTAGTACATGCAACAATCTCAAAATCCTCACACGGCTGGGCTTCTAACAGATTTATTTCTACACAATTTCTCACCTCTAAAAATGAGGAAAGTCAGCTTCTCTTCTGATGTCAAAGGAGGAAAGGTTATTATAGGGGGCAAATCTGTTTTATCTGGAGCAATAGATGGAAGAAACCTTCAAATGTAGTCAAATGGATGATACAATCTCATACTGCCACTAGGATTCTTACAGGAAGTTTCAAACTTCAGTCTCTTTCCACAGCACAAAGCAAGTGTAATTGTGCAAATTAACAGGAAACAAGTTGTTTTACCTTGGTTGCACTAAAGATGTATCCAAGAAGCATAACCAATACAGGAAACCCTATTTTATCCTCCTGTCTTCATCATAGAAGGAAACAACACACTAATTAGATTTTCCAAATTTTGCAATGAATACTTTAATCCTAAATCCTGTAGTGAACCTGATCTCTCGAGTGTTTGGTAGAAGTCTCCAGTGAGTCTCTGGAGAGCTGTAAAGTTTATCTCTACTGTACACCACTGCATAGCTGTGGTGGGATGGGTTGCTAGAATAGAACTGGCAGGGCCGAGCTCTGCCCTGAGTCAAACTCTCATGCACTTAACTCACTGTGCACAGTTAACCCGGGCTCCTGGTCTGTCCCATCTGCATGGGAAGGGATGTGTCCTGGATTAGCAATGCTACTCAGTGTGATTCACAACTCTTCACTTGGTTCAGAAGTATGAACCTCGAAGATCAGGGACAAGCTGACTTGTGGGAGTGCTCTAACCCCCTTCCACAAGTCATCATCTCCCAAACAAGACAAGATTGCCTATAATTTAACAAACACTGTAAAAGGGATTCAGAGTGTTGAACTGCAAAATATGCCCTGGACAAAAGGTGCAGAGGCATAAGCAAAACTGCGATGCAGAACAGCCAGATCATAGTCATTATGTAGCTCTGTAGCTTCAGGCAGATTTGGCTTAAGTGTGCCAGCTGAGAGGGCACTTATGGTCTATTAATGGGTTATCAGTGCAATAAATGCATTAAAATATTATCCCCTTCACTAGACAGGAGTACTTTCACCAAATATTTTTTTTTCCCAGCGACAAGCAAGGTTGTATTTATATTTTTATACAGCCAAATGGATACTAACCTCATCAGGACTGGAGGCCTGGTACACCCTGCAGGAGTCCTCATAGTGTCTCTCAGCTTCAGCTTGGTCTGTCACTCCGTTAGACTCATACACTGGTGTCACATTGTGGCACAGCGCAATTGCCTTCACTGCCTCGTGCACTCGGCTGCTCATGGTTTTACGCACCTTGGTGGCCAAGGTAAGGCCCTTCGCAGCAGGTGGATCCTGAGATTGCTTATATAAAAGGAAAGCCAAATAAAGTCTTATTGCAGGAAAAAAAGTAAAGATTATTTAAATAAAGTTTTCACTTCAGTGAAGATCGTACATATATCAGCTGCACAGGCTCATGTTCCCAGCAACGAGATGCACTCTTCATACAGACCATCGCTGGGAACACACCCCAGTGTAATGCAACCACTGCTACTGGCAAAGTGCCCCAAAAGTTGTGCCTAAGGTTTTGGAACTGTACCCTGTGAAGATGACCCTTTGTTGCGGATCCAAAGACCAACTGGCAAGAGACCAGTCAGAAGACTCGGTGAAACCGCATTTAGCTCCATAAAAGACTGGTGGCTCTGAAAATTTAGAGCCAATTGCATTTCATGTCCAAGTGAATATAATTGCCAAAAACAGAAAACAGATGACTTGTATGGACCTAGAATTAATTACATTCATTTAATTTTTAATACTATTTTTAGTATCAGAATGGGAGTCTTCAGATAATTACACAATTACTAAATTATCCTGGTTGAAGAAGGGACTCACAGTGATCTAGTTTCCTGCTCTGTTAACCTTTAGTGTCAAAAGGACAAAAGTTTCACTTCCAGGTCAAAGGCCACAACATGGTAAAAATAAGAGCAAAGAATAAGAACTACAGTTCAAAATGAATCACTGCCAGCAAATGCTTCTCATTATAGGGAATCTCACTTGGTAATTATAAACGTTTTATGAGACATAACCTTTACCAGTGTAATCCCACATGCTATTTTCCAGGCTTTAGTGATTACGACACATAAGATCTTAAAATTTAATATTGCTGCTTATCATCACTGTTGCAACAGCCTTTGACCAAAACAAACAACAGCAAACCTTCAGCTGAGGTGCATTTAAATTGATATAAAGCACTAGTCATTTATTGGACTTGTCAGTCACCCAAATGTTCTTGACAAATACTGAATGCTTTGGCAAATAATTAACAAGTAGTCAAGTTTTCTCTGGAGATTGAGTAAAAAAATGAGAGTAAATAGATCTGAAATCTGGTTTTTGTTGTTGTTGTTGTTTAAGTACAGTTCAGTCACTTAAGGATCTCAACACCAAGAGAAGAACCAGATGCTAAGAAGGCTGTGAAAACACAGGGGGAGGGAGAGAAGAATAGCAAGAGGAGTTACAAGTTACCTGAGACACTATAGTGAAAAAGATAATTACTCAAAATACCAGGTATTTTATCAACTATCATATGCTTAGTTAAAAGCACATTGCAGCCTGACAGCCTGCCCAGGGAAGAGCTATGCCACCAAACAGATCACTGAGGTCACGGAAACCTGCTGTGCATCTTTACCACCATGAACAAAAGCCAAAAATAAGAATCCCATTTACAGTACATGGTGACTTTTTCCAGGCAAGAACGATGGCTTCATGTTTCGCTTCGTGGGGGGTATAGAAAGTGTACTTGAGTCTAAAATCTCTAGAACAAAGCAAAAATCAATGTGATGTGGAAAAGCCAGTTCACTGCATTGAGTGCGCATCATCAAGGAAAAGCACAGGCACTTCAAAAACTACTTCTGCAGTTTCTATAGGAATGAAGCTATTCCACAACGCTTGAGAAATGAAAATGCTTGACATACGGCATAGGAGTAGCAACTGTCCTGGGTTCAGCTACAGCAGTCCTTTTTTCTCCTTCTTAGTAGCTGGTGCAGTGCTGTGTTTTTGACTTTCAGTCTGGGAACAATGCTGATAACACCGATGTTTTTAGTTGTTGCTAAGTAATGTTTACTCTGACCAAGGACTTTTCTCAGTCTCATGCTTTGCCAGAGAGGAGGGGAAGCCAGGAGGAAGCAGAGGCAGGACACCTGACCCAAACTGGCCAAAGGGCTATTCCATACCACAGCACGTCATGCCCAGTATAGAAACTGGGGGGAGTTACCCGGAAGGCCCAGATCGCTGCTCGGGTCGGGCTGGGTATCGGTCGGCGGGTGGTGAGCGGTTGGGTCCTTTTCCCTTGTTATTCCTCTTATCATTATTATTGGTAGCAGTAGTGGTTTGTATTATACCTTAGTTACTGGAGAGCTGTTATCTCAACTCGTGGGAGTTACATTCCTTCGATTCTCCTCCCCATCCCTCCGGGAGCGGGGGGAGGAAGGAAAAGGGGGGGAGTGAGCGAGCGACTGCGTGGTTCCAAGTTGCCGGCTGGGTTTAAACCACGACACAACCCATCACCAGTGTCTGCAGATTGCATCTCTGGAATCACATTTTACAAAAGAAAAGAATCTAATTGTCAGCAAGTCACAAGATAGATGTCTCTACCTGAAGTTGAGACAATGGTTATTAACAGAACATGGAAAATAATGCTTCCATGATTACATGATAGTGACAATTCTTACATCTTTTCTAAGTACCACACAGAGGGGCAGCTGGAACATCAGCCACTGACAGCTGATTTATTTTTTTTTCCCCCTAAAGGTAGTAATATTCTTAAGTAAAACCTCATCCTTTGTTTTATGAAGGAAGTGCATGCATCTATATGAAGTCTTGATTCACAAGCATCTTGTCCAGTGTAACATGCTACGGAATAGTGTTTGCTGACCCAGACAAGTCACATGGCATTACCTGGTTATCATACAAAATTGAAATTCAAGTTAAGAATAGAGATGAAGGCTTTGCAGATGCTGGCTCATCTGTGATACTGAAAAAGGAACGCAAGGGAGAGATTTCCCAAAACAGGATTTTCCTGTTCTGTGCTTTATATGTGGAGTTTGCTGCCTTTTTTAGGCACAGATAGTTCTCAAAGCAGATGTCAGTTATGCACCACAGAAGATCATTAGTGTATTAATGAAAGAATTCCACTTCTACCATTTTCTTTTTTAAGCATTGGGCCTAAAGCAGTGATACTGGTACACTGTTCTACTGTTCTCTGTTACTGCTTACTAAGTACTGATGGTTCCTTTATTATTGCCCGAGCATTTCCAACAGCAACTTAATCCAGTAAACATTGCCCAGTACCAATTTTTCAACAAAGCAAATGCTTTGGTTGCTCTAAGTGGTGAATATCTAAAAGTATGCTATTTTACAGTCAGACCTCAGTGACAAGACACAGGCACTTACACTCACACTTGCAGATCCAAGCATGTGCTGTGGCAGTTAAAGACTGGTGGATGTGAAACAATTTATGAATGTAATAAGCAAACATGGTAAGCATAATAATGCTTAGTTCTTCAGACTTTTCCAAAAAGTACTAGCTAATAAGCAGATCCCTGTCATATTAACTCACCATTAGCCCAGTAACCTGGAAAGCTGTTTTGTGAACAAAGAGTTAAGTAATGCAATTTAATTCTACCTGTGTGTATATACTGAATATGTGGCTCTGTACTTCATCCATGGAGTCCAGGCCGTAAGCTACTGTTCCCAGGTGAAGTCGCTTGAAGACCATCTCATTCTGCGTAAGAGTTCCTGTAACAGAAGCAGCACCAGGCATGGAGTGGGACCCAACATGCCTATTCCACAGCAGATGTTCTCATCTTTGCTGCACCGCAAATTCAAGAGAAACTGGGCCAGAAGCTGAATCAGTCACTGCACGAGGCTTTCAGCAAAGGTTGAGGCCACCAAGAAAGATAATCTTAACAAGCCTGAAGGCTGATTCGCCCTGGAAGTAGTGCTGCAAGCATAATTCTGGTTCTGTTGGAACCGGTGACAACCAGAAACAGCTTCAATGGACCAGGATTTTACGTCAGACCAAGCTCTTCATTACAGCTTAGGTCTTGCAGGAGATAGATAGATAACATGTTTCTGCCTACGCATGTAAACTATCTTCATCTGGCTTTGAAAACTAACTCTAAAAAGTTGCTTTTAATTTTATTCATACCCTGAGCTTTTGGTTTAATAGCACACTTCAAGTGTTCTTTGAAGTAGCATAATATTTCTGCCTTATCTTACTTATAATGCATTCAGAACACAAAAGAGTGAAATTATTTTCAAAGACTGATTAAGTCATATTGTCGAAGTGACAGGAAATGCATCTTACATTATACTCTCTGGCTGGCCAAAATTGTAACAAAATCCAAACAACAACATACCACGATTCTAAACCTCAGATGAGATACCTGTTTTGTCTGTAAGCAAATAGGATATCCTCCCCAGCTGCTCAGGAATAGTGCTGGACCGAACCACAGTCCCAGGGATTTTGGAATCTCTGCGGATCACCCAGCTGTAGACAATCTTCCCCATGTCCAGATTCACACGTAAACTATGCAAGAGGAAGAGGGGAAAAAGAAAAAGGAAATGCATTGACAGTTAAACTTTGGAAAAAGTCATTGTGAACTACCACAGCGCAATGAAAGGACACTTCCTCCATGATGAATTTGAGCTGCCAAAGAGGGTGTCTCTGGAGAATTATATTCAAAGTCAGTGGTTGGGTGGCAAATGGGGAGAAGGACTGTGCATTGCTGCAGTGGTACTGTAATTCAAAAACAGATGACAGAATAGACAAGAACAGATATAATTTGAGGGGAAGATGGACACAGACAAGTAAGAACACCATGACTGATAAACAGACAGCAGGTTAAAAATGGAACTGAGATGAATTCCTAGACCTACGCTGAGAGTAACAATCTACTTGTTAATATAGTACAATTAAATACTAAAGTTTACATCCCCTCTAAAAAGCAATTGGGTCTTATACTACATGCTGCATAAATAACACTTTTCCACTTTCTGCTCTGCTCTTATCAAAGTAACCAGGTAGCCCAAACACTGAAAGAAGGGGCCTTAAATGACTAATCCACAGCCTAAGTTAGTCAGTGAATGGCTGAATATGCTGAACACATTCAGCAGAAACAACAAAGCAATACCCATGTTTGAACAGTAATTTGATTTTTATTTTCAGATTTGCTTAGTTGTCAAACGAGCATTAGATAAGAGTTTACGTGCTTGTTTACACCGGAAGCATGGAGGAGGACACAAAGCAGGAAGTATTTTGCTGGGTAGAATTAGAGAACACCTTACCTAATGGGAATGATGTTTGAGAACAGAAGGAGAAATCTTATGATCTGAAGATACCAGCGGCCGGCAAAGTGCTGAAGGGCCACCATGACAAGTGAGACAACCACGAGGGCCCCAAATAGGATCTTGGTAAGACAGTTCACTTCCAAATCAAAAAGACCAATCTAAAGAAATGAGAGAGACATTTCAAGCACTCAAATGAGGATGCTAGTTCAATGCAGTATTCACAAAGGCAATCAACTGCCAAAGAGCCACTTCCCACTGGCCAACTTCTCTTTTAAAACACTACAAACATTTAAACTTACAAACGATACTGTTGCCAGCTTCTTAAACAAGACTTCCAGCCTTTGGAAGCAAAGCAATGCATAAAGAGGTGCAAGAGGACTCCTGCTGCCAAAAACTGCTGACTATGTAAACATCCCTGCACCTTGTCTTGGTTTTGCTATAATAGAAGAATGCAGCAAAACAAGCTTTCCTATTCTAACTGGGACTATTTCATTATAACCATATAAAACAATGGGTTTACCAATCTTAAAGTGTTAAGACACATGCATAGTAGACAAAAAAAATAAGGAGAAATAGGTTCTGCTATGGTGACTATCTTAAATCACAGGCTGAAAGATATGAATCATTATTCCTGTGAAGTTATCGCTGTAGTATGTACATACAGCATTTGGAAGGATTTTCTTTAAAATACTACAAATTTCTGCCTCTTTTTATGTATTGTAAGACTGTTTCCTCACCATACCTTACTTCTTGGGTTTGAAGTATTCATCACACTGCGCAGTTCCCTTCCAGTATAGAGGACAACTCCTACAACAGTACCTAAACAAAACAGAGCATGCATCAGCAGAAGAAAAACAACCTCCATTAGTTTTCACTATAAAAATACTCGTTGGATCCAAAGGCTGATGCATCACAGACTGCATCAACTAATGTGCATGGAAACAGAAGTCAACTGCTTTGCTCTCTCCACTTTCCCTGACGCCATTTTGATGTCACTTGTCTTGCTATGAATAAAAGCTGCTAAGGGTGGAAGATTTCTTGGTTTTCCTCCCACCAGCTAGTATCCCACTTAGGTGTGGGTAAGTTTGCCTTAGACCAGATAGTGGTCCTTCATTGCATGTCAAAATTAAATCAGTGCTCTGGGTTCTTTACTGGTGAACATTGCCGCAATCAGAGTAAAACTACTCAATTCCAACAGCTTTCAAAGACAGAATTACCTTATTTAAAAATCTACAATTTACTTTAAGTATTTGCCTAATTGCTGCTCCTACTGAAAGGCCAATCATACCAACTCCTACCTTACTGTAACAGATGGAGCTGCTGGGAGCTTATCAGTGTATTTTAATGCTGTGTCCCACAGTTGCTAAACAGCTGAGAGCAAGGAAGTTCTTCCTTTTTCACAGAAACATAATACAGTTTAGCACCATAAATTACTGGGTTTCTACAGATTTCTCCTAAAGACTTTGCAAAAAGCCATAAAGAAAAAGCTATCTATCATCAAGAGTTTAAAAGCTGTTATTGCCAAAGTCTAAATCTAGTGTTTTACTAGAAAATTTTAGGAGTCATTAAAAATGGAGAAAAACAACACCGAAAAAAAAGCATTACTGCAAATACAGTGCTATTTTATACTCTGCTATTCCCCTGCTCCCAAAGTTTCAATAAGCTTCAAGTGAATTATTTTTAAGTAAGACTGATTCAAAAGAGGTGGTTTCTAATAATATGCTGGGAAACATTCCCTTAAAAAAAACAAAGCAAAAACCAACAAATCACTGGAACCAGATGGCAGGTGGTGGTAAGATCATCACAATTCAAATCAGCAGATGGCACAGCTACTCCAAACCAACTGCAAACAGTCAGAGTCAGACCCATTCCTACTACAGCAGATGGAGAAAGCCACATACCTCTGCTTCCTCTTACTAGCAAAGGCTAACCCAGTGAGATGGCATGACCACAACTTGACAGCTTTCACTTAAAGAAAAATAGTATCCACCTTTTTTTCCTCACTGGAATAACCTATAACATGCTATTTATTATTACCATAGGAGAAACAAAACTGAGTATTTTATTGATCGAGTTGGTCAAAATGAGAGGAAAAACCTGCCAGGGCTAGAAAACAGCTTGAAGGCAGACTGGTACGTATAAAAATAATGTTTCTAGTTGTTTTATGGCCATTCAAAACAGACTCAATTGCAGAAAGCATTTGAAATTATGAAAACATTTGCAAACATTATTCCTATTAACTGAACTCAAAGATGTCTATCTACAAATAATTTTGTTCATATTCAGAAGGCACGACTGGATTCCATCAGAAAGTTCATGTGGGCAAAGAGGAGGTTGTTGCATGCCCCGATACAGACACAAAGACCACCAAGGACTTCTACACAGCATTAAAGTAGTGACCAGACAAGGTAAGAGTGTGTGCTGTGCCCTCCTTTGGGGAAAAGTGTCTGCACCCACTTGTATACTACACTGTAATGTAAATGAAGAGCTTTCTGAAGTAATACAAAGTAGATGAAGAGCTTTGATCCTCAGCAGGCACTGGCTGTGAGTGTGCTGAGGGCAGGACAGCATTTCCCTCTGAATTCAATAGGGCTCTTCACTGTAACACATTCCCATGTTAGACTCAGCCATTGCAGGATAAGATCTGCAACAGTTCAAGAGCTGGTACAAGGTAAAACTTTGATTCAAGAGGTAAGAAAGCATCCCTGGGAAAGGATGCTGTGGAGAGAGGAGCCATACAGGACTCAATCACAAGACAAATGGCTTTCCATTTCTCTTATCTGTTTTATTCAACACCAGGAAGAGCTGAGACTCATGCATTAAGCAGCCTGGGTATCAAAAACCACCAGGCTCACTACAGCGTCTGCACTTAGAGGGGAGGAAGGTAAGGTACCTAATGCATGCAATTACTAATCTATAAATGTACTTTACTTGATTTAAATTTTATTTGGACCTTGATTAAATTGTATTTGGACAACTGGTTTTTTTTACAATCATTTGGTCACAGCACTGTGACAACACTGTAATACACTTCAAAGAAGAGTCAGAGCAGGATTAGATCGAAACATACAGGAATAAAATTTACTCTATTTTCTGCTTCTAAGAGAGCAAATCAAAACCTTTTCAGAGCTTCAAAAAAAAAAAAAAAAAAATCTTTTGGAGTTCATGTTCCTCTCTATTATTATTAATTCTATGTACACTCTGGTACCACACTGTTTCAAGTCCCTCCATCAAGTCTCTCCATCCAATAACTTTAATTCCAGAACTGTACTACAGAATTACACTCTCCTCCAGCTATTGCCCTGCAAATTTTGCAAGCACTCTGGACAGGAAGGAAAAAGGCTTTTACTTTGACAAGCCTCTACAAAAGGGCATTGATTAATCTCAAGCTTTGGGAGCTTATCATATATATAAGCCAAGATCTGTCAAAGAATTTATTTTTTCCTTTTTAAAAGTGTGTAAGACAAACTCAATGGAAGCACTTACCTGGAAATCTTTCATGTTAGCTTCTGTTACCAGAATCTATTTGACACCGTTTCTGTTACAGATTAGGATGTCAATGTGGAGAGCAATTAAGTGCTATTCTGGTCCTAGATGCTAAAGAAGTGCCCAAAGGCCACTCCAATTCCTTCTCATCTAGGAATGTCCAAGAGGCAATTAGATGTCAGCTCAGCTCCCCAGAGGTGTTAGGACAAGTGGGAAACCTCATTCCAACTGCTCATTTCTCCAACTGACAGAGATTATTATTCCATTACAAAAAGACCTTTAAAAATTGTTAACATATTCCCTTAAAATAGATTTACACATGCCTCTATCTTACCTGATGCAATCACTGTGCTGGCCCACAGGGTGTTTTCTATGCTTAAACTTTCATTTACTGGAGGGTCATTGTCCTCCTGCACCAGAATAAAAGGAAAAGTAACAAATGTCAGTAATGCAAAAGAACAGTGTACGACAGAGTCACACAGAGTGTTTGGAGAGGGCTTCTTGATAGGATGGAGGATTTTGATAACTGGTTGGGTTGAAAACATGACCACTTTGTTTCAGTGGAACAGAAGGATTGGGAAACCAAAACCAACCAACCAAAAAGCCCTCCATCTATTAGGATACCACTGCCTGCTGAATGTCCCCAGGAATCATAAATGATAAAAGGATTTGTCAGCAGCTCTCCAGGGACTACAGGAAAACGTTCCCTCAAGAAAGCACAATTCCTCTTAGGCACCAAAAGATTAATCCTACACAATTTTGCCATTGCATGAGAAAGGAAATTAATGTCTGTGCAGGGGTTTTTTTAGGAACTGCCTCCCCAAGCCACTCAAACTCCTCTTCTACGCCAGCACTATTAAACCAGATTAAACTGTACCACATAAAGAAAAAAGGCCAAAACCTACAATTTTGAACTAAAATACCAGCAAACAACCTCAATAAAGCTCTAACTGCCTCCTATTTGTTACAAAACGATTTGTCCTCTGAAAGCTCCCCAAGGGAAATCCCTGAATTGAGATGCATCTTAAAATTTTCATAATCCCACTAATAGGAAAAAACCCTCACCTTTTGCCCCAGATAGCCAATGCAACTTCCCAGCAAGTCAAGAGATACATTTTTTAATGGTGATACTTCACAGTGGTGCTGAGCTGCTGCCCTCTGAAACAGGCGGCAGATATAACTGAGTTCACATAGCTTGCATGCAATTGAGGGCAAAAACCCACTGACTCAGAATTAAGACTGCTATCGCCTGACCTAGCTAAGATCCCCTATCTTTTCACAATTAAAGGATTTTAATCCTACAGTTCATGGTGGTCCAGATTTCCTTCTGAACAGGCACCATGAACACATAACTACCAATCTCTGTCCGAGTGTTCAGGTCTAATACTGTCAGACTAAGGTCCTTAAAGCCAAACAGCCTATGACACTGTTTCCAAGTCAAAGCTTCAACAATTGTATTTTTGCTTCAGATTTGATGGATTTTATAAAGAAAAACAAAAAAAAAAAACCCCAAAAAAAAAAACCACCAAGAAAAGACTAAAAAAAGAGACAAGGAATAGGAATACAGACTTCACTTTCTCCTGAAAAACTCTGGCATCCTGGTAGCATTCAGCACGCTTGCACAGCAAACACTACATATATGATTTCAAGCACGTCAGCAAGACTCACCCTTGTGAAGGTCCCCACAAAGTTATGTATATCAATATTGGGCTCTTCTGCATATATATAGGATCGGGTTTGCAGTAGGTCCTATAAAAGACATGTTTTGGCAGACAGACAATCACATTTTAATAACGTACAAATCTTTCTACTAAAATACTTTGAGCAAGAGTTACTTATCAATTGGTGTACCAGCTTCACTGAAGGGTATTTCTTGAACTGATACCTGAGAGACTCCTGAGAGTTACTTAAATGTCAGTGCCCTCATATCAGAAATTTCAGCCTGAATAATCAAGACAGCCTAAGACACTTCTTAATTCTTAGCAAAGAAGGCTTGGACTAGTCTTCCAAGGTAACCAAAGAACACCCTATCACTCAATATTTAGTTCAAGATACCAGTGTCATTAGTAACAGTCTTGTGATGACAAGAAGATACAACAATTCTGCACAGTGTTTTTCACTGCTGATTCCTACACATGCACAAATTCCATGGAGAGGATGCCTTGCTTCAAAGCCTTAGTATAAGGTAACTTTGCACAGATACACCACCACTAATGCAGGTACTCTGATTCCCCCTTTTTCTTGTTTTCGTTTTTAAAAAAAAAACTAACCAAACAAACAAAAAAAAAACCCAATCCAGACAAAAACCAGTAACACACAAACTACTTTAGTAAGAGATTTCAGGGAACAGCATGATTGATGGAGGTACTTATTTCAGATCATACAGTAGAGCTTCCATGGTGACACTCCTCCTTTCATAAAGGTGAGCAATGAAAACTTAACAGCCTCTGAAGCCATTTCATGAAAAGGCATGAACTGTGCCTCTGAACATCCAGCAGTGCAAGGAATGAAACGGAGCATCTGAGAAGTACCACCTCCATGGGTACCTATCCTACAAGACCTATCCTGCAGTAAGTTACTGCAATGGTCTCTGGAGAGTTAAAAGAAAATAGGAGCATCCTATCATTAGCCACCTTCTGCTGCAAGGTCATTCTCTAGCTGCCAACGCTGGTGCCTATCTGCACAGCTCTGTAGTGACAGCCATGCAGCTCAGAGACATCTCTCTTCACCTTACCTGAAA